AAGATGACTATGCCCGAGTGCTCTCAAGTTTCTCACACCTTGTGAGGGAAACCTGTGAACAATAGTTAAATAACAAGGCTTCAACACAGGACTGGGCTTTCAAGTCCAACTACTGTTTACATTTTGACACCTCATTTACTCATTGACTAATTGTGACGAATATTATTTCACTTTTCTAAGGTTTTTGCCTATTTTTTTCATTTGTAAGGATATACTATTAGTTATTTGTACGGGTTTTGTGAGAAAACAGCAGATGCTTGGCTTCATATTGTGTTATAGTTGTGTGTATCACTTGCTATTTTTTTTAATCATTCAGTGTGTTAAGTGCTATACAAGTTTACAATGGGAGAGGTAACTACTGACTTTAGTATTTTTTCCCTCTCCCTCTCCTTTTTCCTTTCCTTTTCTCTGCCCATCGCTTTAGTTTTTAGAAATGGTTTTGCTGTGTAGCTGCTTTAAATTCACAATTCTACCTCAGCTTTCTGAATTCTAGGATTGTTAGAGTGCACCATTACTCTGGCTTCTTTTTTCCTTCTTACCTCAGGCAGTACTGAGGTTTGAATTCAGGGTCTTCTGTTGCTAAACAGATGCTATACCACTTGAGCAATACTCTCAGCTTCCTTTCTTATCTCTGCCTTTCCCAGCTCTATTCTTCCCATCCCTTCCCTTGTCTTTGCTTCTTTTTTTCTTTTTCTTTATTTTTAATTTTTATTTATTTTTTATTGTGAAAATACTGTACAGAGGGTTTACAATTACATGGGCAAGATAATGAGTACATTTCTTATCAAGCATTGTAGCCTCTTCCTTTGTTTCCCCTTCCCATCCCTTCTTTTTTTCTTTTTCATCCAAAACTCATCCGTCAATTCCTACTGGTTCAACCATCACTTCCATGAAGTTACTTCCCAAATCCATACTCATAGCATTTCCAGCTGCTTCCTGGGCATCTCCATCTGGAAGTCCTTCTTGCCTCCAAAGAGCATGTCCAAAATGAACATACTCATCCCCATTAGCTGTTCTTTCCAATCTCTACTAACTATAACACCATCTTCAGCAAACGGCTTAATTTTAAATTCAGACCTTACTTTTCCTTTGCTTCACTCTCCCCAATGTTTCTCTCATGCAGTCATTGGGCCAGACTAGCCTGTTTCAGCTCTATGCTTCCGTTATCGTTCAGCATTTTTTCTCCATGTCTGTTGTTGCCATTTCCCTAAGTTAGGGTCTCTTTATCTCCCATTTGGGCTGCTGGATGAGGCTTCTCTTAACTAATCTTCTCTCTCCTTTCCTCTGCACCCATCATGCTACTGCCAAAGGAACAGTGTTAGGCAGAGATCATAGTTTTTATCCTTAGCTTTAATCATGCTACTCTCTTGTTAAACAAACTCTCCATGGCTGCAGAACAAAGTCCAAACCCTAGTAGACTTCAGTTCCAAGCCCCTTTGTCCTTTAGACTGTTTTCCAGGGCTTGCTTACCTGCACATTTCCCAGATGGTTAGCTCCATAGCTTCTGAGCCTGTTTTCCATTCTCCCATCTTGTCACTGCTTATACTGGGTTTATTTTTTGTTTTTCATTTCAATAACCTCATCCCTATCCCAAGTTTTATTCCAGGACCAGCACAAAGAAAAGGGAAAGAAAGAGAAGGGAGGGGAAAGAAAGGGAGGTGAATCTTTTAGGCTCCTCAATCCCATTTGGTTTTTTCCCCTTTCCCCTACTTCTGCCCAACAAGTTGTTTTTTGAAAATGATAGAGAAATTTTTTAAGTATCTGATTATGCTTAATAAACCCAATTTTTAATACCTTTCTATTGCTCTTTGGATACAAATGAGAAAAATCTCTTGTCATGGCATGTTCAACCTGTGAGCCTCTAGCCTTATTTCACTCAGTACCCTTGGCCTGGCATGTGCTCGTTCCTGTGCTGTGATTAACTCCCCTTACTGTTCTTTTCCTACAGCTCTTCTTTACATATGTTCTTTCTTTGGGCATCAACTAAGTCATCATTTTCTCTATTATAACCTTCTGGTAATCTCTCTCCTTGTAGTTTATAGCTTTTATCACCATAATAAACTTTGTAATAAATCTGAAAACTTCACTTCTACCAGTTTATTCCATGCTTCACAAGTCCTATATATGGGTTTTGATTGCCTTTGCATCTGAGTTTAGCACAGTGCCTAATGTGTGGAAAAAGTGTTCAGTTTATATCAAGTAAAGGAGTGATTGAAGGATGAGGTTTTTGTTTACATCAGAAAATAGTTCTATAGAACTTTAGTAGTAAAGATTACAATATTCTAAAAGTTGCTTTTGTTTATGACACTGATGACAATAAAAGACTTTTTTATGTTTGTTACACCTATTGCAGAGTATTAGGTGATTAATTATAATGAAGTGAAATCATACAGAATCAGAGAATAAAGTAAAAGCACCAGATGCCAAATAGTCCTGCTTTCTGATGAATAGTCAGAAGCTATGTAGCTTCTTAAACATCTCTAGCAACAAGTGCCCCAGCATCTCCAGAGGCTATTCTGCTTTTTCATTTTTTCCATGCAGAGCCAAAACTGACCTGATATAATTTCTGTTCATTTATATTGATCTCTAAAGAAATGGAGACCAGGTTTCTATCCTGGCCATATGGAAGCCTTTCAAACAAATGCTCTTTTTTGTTATTTTTCCTAGTCCCTACCATCCTCAGACCATGTACCTGCCATATTGGTTCTAGAACAGCTATGTCCTCCTCTTTCCTTCAGACTGTCATACATTGTTTCTCTCTTCAGAACACTTATACCCCTAGTCCCAACTACCCTGGCTACTTTTTCCCCATTGTTTAAAACAATCTCACAGAGATTTCTTTAAATCCTCAGTGGGTTATATTAGTGGCTGTCTCTTTGTACTCCTTTGTACAGTTCTTGTTCATCCCTCATGCAGACTATATAACAGCATTTTATGATTTTTTAAAATCCATATTATTAACCTACAAGAAGGGAAGTCATACTTCACTAGAGTTTATCACCATGTCCTCCACCACTATTGAGCACCATGTCTGACAGAAGATAAGCATTAACAAACATTTCTGACTGAATAAATTTGAGAATATCAACTTCACCATTCTTCAAGATATTATCCACACATATGGAGTCCAGTTTGATGATCATTTATCTAAAATGCTTAAGAACAGGAATGTGGAATATTTGAAGCTTTTGCAACTTGTATATGATTATACCAACTTCTCAATATCCTCTGTCTTAGCAGTGTCCCTCCTTAAGAGAGGCACTGATAATATATCAAAAGTGTTCCAGGTTAAGTCTGACCTGGTCTATATAAAACATACGGTTCCTGTAAATTCATATCCCAAAGAATGTGTGCTCAGAAGCAAAATTTGTTCTTCTTTCTTGGTGAACTGATTTTTCTGCTTTAGGCATTAGCAGTTTATCTTAGTACTGTTTTTAAGGGTGTTAATGAAGTGACTTTAAAGAACTGTTTCAGAAATAATTGTTTAATTTGCTCATTTTAATCTGTCCTCCAGGCTGTTAACTCCTATCTTAGTGAATGTTAATAGTTAGAAGGAGTGCTCTTTCTTCTGAATGCTGTCTTTATTTTTTCTCAACTACTCTATTACAGATTATTTTCCTGACTTTTCATTAATTCATTCTGAAAGAGGCAAGTGTTTCAATGATAAGGACTGATAAAGAAAAATTTTGTAACTTTTGTTATTTAGGGAGGTAGAAAAACAAACCATATATCAGGATGGATGAATAAATAGATATGAATGCTTGTTCTGAGATAGTAGAAAGGGAGTAGGAGAAAGCAATTAAGAAAAAAATAAAAACAAAAGGAACACATGGAATGTAAGTACCATGTGCTTCCTCTGTGTTTCATACTTTTACCAGTGTTGTTTCTTTCAAATGATGACTGTGGAAAACAGATATTATTACTCTCATTCACTCAAAGAGATGTCAGTATCTATGTCGTAGCACTTGTGAATGACAAAAGAATTTTTCAGGCATAGGTGTATCTGGGTATAAAGATTAGTTTACTCTTCTAATTTGGATTTAGCATGTACTTTGTCTTAGTTATAAAGAAGTCAGAAAAGCTCAATCCTCATTACAAAAGAAATAATGACGTTCAAATTAAAGCCTAGTATGATAATGTTTTCCTTTTCTGTCTGCTTTCTTTCTTCTTCCTTCATTTCTCCCTTTTTATGTAGTACTGATAATCACAGTTGCTAGGCAGGCATTCTTGCGCCATATCCCCAGCTATCTTGCTCTTATTATTTTTCAATATGTTTATTTGCAGACCAGCCTAGACTGGGGTCCTTCTATTTATACAGGTAGACATCATCACATTGGGTTGAAATGGAGTCTCACAAACTTTTCTGCCTGTTCTCAGCCTCCTGAGTGTAGGATTTACAGACAAAAGTCATCATACCTTGCTCATTTCTGCTTATGTAAATGCATTTAAAAGTCATTTGGATTTGATGGAGTAAATTTGATTAAAGTACATCGTATGTATGTAAGCCTTTGTATAATTAATTTATGCTAATAAAATAAGTGATAAAACCAGCACGAAGGTTGTGAAAGAGAGACTACTTGGGAGCACTACTAGGAGAAAGACAGAGGAAAAGAGATATGGGGGTGAATATAATCAGAATATATGTAAGTATGAAAATAGCATAATGAAACCTAATGTTTAAAAAGAAGAGATGTGAAAGAGAGGAATAAGAAATAGTATACGAGGGGATGAGTTTGGTTAAAATACATTATATACATGTATGAAATGTCATCTTGAAACCCCTTTGTATCCTAATTAAAAAAAAAATCCAACCATCAGTTTCTCCAATTGTTTCTTGAATGTGTTAGATACCTCACATTAACTCTTTGCTTCCTCAACCCTTTTCAGTAAGCCTATTGTATAGTTTTAGAAGATTGGGCATACTTGTAGCAATTTTTTAACTTGACCTGACTTGTTCTGTGAAGTTATATTAATCCTCTTCTTTCTTTACTTGTTGGCAGAGGGCTTGTACATGACAGCCGGCATAACCTTCAGTTGAGAGGCTTGGTGGTGCTGCTCATTTCCAAAGCAGCGGGGCCCAGCAGCATGGATGATTCATGTCATAACTATGACATGGTTAGTGGAATCTACTCATGGTAAGAAGAAATTAACCATTTTACATTGCTCTCTAGAATGTATTTTCTTTTCTTTTTTTGGCAGTTCTGAGCTTTGAACTCAAGTTCTTGCACTACGGCAAGATAGCACTATGCTGCTCAACCACCTCTCTAGCCCTCTTCCCACTCAAGACTGAAGTTTTGTCACTTGAATCACACCTCTGCTTCTTTTAGACCTTTTGTACAATGGTTATTTTTGAGATAGGTTCTTGCTTTTTGCCTTGACATGGGCCTAGGCTACCGTCATAGCTTGGATGATAGCTATGTACCACCTTGTTCAGTTTCTTCTGCTGAGATGGAGTCTTGAGGATTTTTTTCTTTCTAGGCTGGCCTGGAACTGTGATTCTCTTGATCTCAGCCTCTCATATCACCATACCCAGCTAGTTGAAAGGGAGTTTTTAATGTGTATGCTCAGTCTAGCCTTGAACCATAATCTCTTGATCTTGACCTCCCATATAGCCAGGATTTCAGGCATGAGCCACCAATACCTGGTTCTGAACAGTATAGAGATCACTGTTTAGCTCTTTGTCATTCTCTGATTCAAAGACAGATGAATGTATGTTGGCTTTTAAAAAAATCACTTTTTGCAGTTCCTAATAAGTCTGATAATCTTGACCAGCTTCATGCATACTCAGGTAAATTTTACCATTCAATTTGTAAAGAATACATTCATTTCTAACTATTCTTCACCCCCTTATGATGTGCTTGTGTTTCTATACAGCCTACTGTGTCACTTAGTTCATAATTTGTGATTTTTAAACCTTATAAAAATGGTATCTAGTTGTATAAAGATTGATATTACTACCATTTTAGAAGTAGTTGCTTCAGTTCTATTTTTTTTTTCTTCTGGAGATTTTTATGTCAAAGAGGTTCTATTGGTTACTAGGATAAGAAATTTTTGCCAGGCGCTGGTGGCTCATGCCTGTAATCCTAGCTACTCAGGAGGCTGAGATCTGAGGATCGTGGTTTAAGCCAGCCTGGGCAGAAAAGTCCATGAGACTCTTATCTCCAATTAACCACCAGAAAACCAGAAGTGGTTCTGTGGCTCAAACAGTAGAGTGCTCGCCTTGAGCTTAAAAGTGCATCGACAGCGCCCAACAAATATCACTAGTTTTGTTAAGATAATCACATATGTGTATTTTAGATATATAGCAACAATATATCAGTACATTTGTTATTAGATAATAGCTTTAAGAGAGTAGCAATCTGCAGATGGACTTGGGCATGTGAAATTATAATCAGCCAAAAATATGATAAGGAAGTTTTCCTTACGAAAAGAAGCATTTCTAATGACTGACTAATCAAACTTGTTAATTTACTTTTTAAAAAATCAGTTTTCAGGGTGGGTACTGGTAGCTAATGCTTATAATCCTAGCTATTCAGGAGACTGAGATCTAAGGATTATGATAGAAAGCCAATCTAGGCCGGAAGTGAAACTGTTGTTCAAGTGGTAGAGTGCTAACATTGAGCACAAAAGTTCAAGGATAGCATTCAGTCTCCCAAGATTGGCACAAAAAATGTCTGCCTGCATTTTTGACTCTGTGTGTGTGTACTGGTACTGGAGCTTATTCGATTTAGGGACTGAGTACTGTCCTTCGCTTGTTGTTCAAGGCTACTGCTTGAACACCACCACTTTAGCCACACCTCTTTTTCCAGCTTTTTGGTGGTTAATTGGAGATAATCTCATTTACTTTCCTGCCTGGGATGGCTTCAAACCAAGATCCTCATATCTCCTGTTTAGCTAGGATTGCAGGTATGAGCCACCCATGCCTGATCTTTGACTTTTTTTTTTATTCCTAGGTCTTTTTCACAAGTATTTATTCATCCTGTAGTATTTAGAAATAAATTTTGCTTGCCAACTATGAAATTTAGTGATCCTTCTTCATTAATAAGCTAGCAAAGAAGATAATGTCAAATAACCACTGCACAGCCAATATCATCTTGCACTATTCATCCATATATGTATCTTTACTAGAAGAGATGTTTTGGGATAATTTTCAGTTATTACTCACTCTGAAATTACATATTATTTTAGGCTTTTAGATACTTATCATTTTTATGACAGGTCATTTGATCAATAGGTAGGAGTTGTACTTACTTTACTCTTGAGAAAACAGATTTTACAACTTTCAGTCTTTTTCGGGTAATACAGTTAGCAAATAGGGAAACAAAGCTGTAACATAGATCTCTTCTTTCTTCCAAGTCTCCTGTTTTATTTCATCTTTCTATTTTTCAAGAATTTATTTCACTTTAGGGCTGGGAAGGTGGCTCAGTGGTAGAGCGCTTGCCTTGCATGCCTGAGGCCCTGGGTTCGATTCCTCAGCACCACATAAGGAAAAAAGCCAGAAGTGGCGCTGTGGCTCAAGTGGTAGAGCACTAGCCTTGAGCTGAAGAGCTGAGGGACAGTGCCCAGGCCCAGAGTTCAGGCCCCACGACTGGACCAAAAAAAAAAAATTATTTCACTTTAGATTAAATTAGCTATTAAGTTAGTTTGCCAAAAGAAAATCTTATAAAGATGTCCTGAGCATGGGTGCCAGTGGCTCATGCCTGTAATCCTAGCTACTCAGAAGGTTGAGATCTGAGGATCGTGGTTCAAAGCCAGCCTGGGCAGGAAAGTCCGTGAAACTCTTACCTCCAATTAATCACCAGAAAACGGGAAGGGTGCAGTGGCTCAAGAGGTAGAACTCTCACTTTGAGCTGAAGAGCTGATGGCCCGCTCAGGCCCAGAGTTCAAGCCCCTACAACCAACAAAAATAATAAACAGTCTTGAAAAACTTGGAAAATCTTTAATACATCTGTATCCTTTCCCCAAATTTAATTGAATTAGACCTCTGAACTTTACCTTATAAATTTTGTAGAAAACTCTTAGCTAGGTTTAATTTAGACTACTAGAAAGAGTATCCAAAGATCTGGAGTGAACGTTAATAACCCATTAGACCCAGAGAAACAAATGGACTGCACAGCACCTCAGTTTCCTGTTAGGAATTCCATTAATTTTCAACCTGCTGGTCTCGACTTCGTCTTATTCATTAGTTACCTGTTTGTACATTTGGAGAACTACATACATACATACATACATACATATATATATATATATACTCTTTAATAATCACTGGAAAGTACTACTTGACACATGAGAGATGTTTGATATTTGCTTCATAAGTGAATAGTCCTCATTCTATAGAACAGATAACCATTATTGAATTTAAGACTTATCTTACATTTTCTAGGTAGGAAGTAATAGAGTTGAGATTGCAATTTATTTTTTTTTCATCTTTTCTCTTTTGGTACTGGGGATGTAACCCAGGACGTTGGCACTTGCTAGGTAAGCACTTTGCCACTGAGCTACATCCCAGCCCTGCAATTTATTTTTATTCGAAACTGGCTAAACTAAAATGGCTACCATTCAGTAGCCATATGTACTGGATATACTATGGTTATTAGCTCAGTTCCTTTCTAATTTCTTATCTAGCCTTGAAGAAACAATTGCATTTCTTCAGATTCTCCCCATAGGTATTTGGTAGATTGTCATTTTTAATGTGAGCAATCTACATAGATGAACATTGCCAAAGAGAAGGTATATATTATGAACATAACATAAATGGGTTTTTAAGTGTATAGTCTTTACACTTGCACTTAGGGAAAATGCCACCATGTAGTTTCAGGTTGTTTTCTAATCAGATTTGGTCTAGTAAGTCATTTGTTTATTTGGATATTTTATACACTTGTTAATGTGAAAAAGCCATTTAGTACTTTGAGAAACCATTCATTTGTTTCTTTACTCCTGAAGTAATTTATTTGGCTCCTACTTCCTTAATTATTCAAGTGTAACTTTTGCTGGAGGCTTGTATCTATAATGCCACAGTGAATTATTTAACATTTGAGGGAAGTACTGATTTGGAAGCTTTTTAATTCACCTTCACACTACGTTGTTGGTATTTTTCTCTCATAAACTTAACTTTGATATCAGTTAATAGTACCTGAGTAAATTTCCAAGAGACCAAAGTGAGCTAGGTGATCTCTTTTGTTTGGCCTAAAGATGTAACTGGTACTCTAGATATAGCTAGAGAACTTAATCACATAATGGCTAAGAGAGGCAGAATTTAGGCTGAAATGTAATCACTACATTTTGAAAAATAGGCAAAAGAGCCACATTTGTAAAACTACACTATAAACATTTACCTTAGCCTTTTGTCAACAAGACCATAGGTTATTCTACCAATACTGACTTAAAAAAATTGAATGTAAATCCAATCAACAATAAATCTAGGGCTGGGAAGGTGGCCTCACATGCATGAGGCCATGGGTTCAATTCTTCAGCACTACATAAACAGAAAAAGCCAAAAGTGGCACTGTGGATCAAGTGGTAGAGTGCTAGCATTGAGCTGAAGAGCTGAGGTACAGCTCCCAGGCCCAGAGTTCAAGCCCCATTACCGACAAAAAAAAAAAAAAAATAGATAGATAGACCTTAAATTTTGTATGCATCCCTAGCCATATTTGAGACAAAATTTATAACTTCTCATTTCCTTGAGAATAGAATATTTTGTGTATGAAAGATGGATTTTTACCAAATGTAATATATAATACTAAAACATTTAGAAGAAATGTGTGGCCATAGTATGTTAGATATGATAATGTCATAACGAAACTCCTGATTTTGTGCAACCATATACACTGATAAAAATATTTAAAATGGGGGCTGGGAAGGTGGCTCAGTGGTAGAGTGCATGCCTTGCATGCATGAGGCCCTGGGTTCGATTCCTTAGCACCACATAAGCAAAAAGAAAAAAAGCCGGAAGTGGCGTTGTCACTCAAGTGGTAGAGCGCTAGCCTTGAGCTGAAGAGCTGAGGGACAGCGCCCAGGCTCAGAGTTCAAGTTCCACGATTGGACCCCCCAAAAAAATGTTATTTCCAAAATAGAAATAAAGGCTGGGAAGGTGGCTCAGTGATAGACTGCTTGCCTTGCACGCATGAGGCCCTGG